CTGGGTGCATGGTAAAAGCTCTCGCTCCAGCCCAGTCCTGCAAGTTTTATAGAGATCATGCTCTCCACAAATTTAAGGCAGAGGAAGATTTGTGGAGATGTGGGCACAATATATGCCACTTTCCTTTGGAACAAGCAATACCTGAGAACATAACCAAGAGCCATGGGATGCAGCTGGAATTGAGAGTCTGAAGTGGCTGACTCAAGTGCTTAAGAATCTTTACCTTTTGGGGATACTGGAAACATTAGTGGTGGAGAATGGGCACAGGTGGAAGGATGGGTACTCGATCATTGTATGACTGAAACGTAAGCACAAAGTTTGTAAGTCTGTAACTGCATCTCACGGTGATTCATTAAAAAAATTTAAATAAGAAAAAAAAGAAGAATCTTCACCTTTTGGGCCGGAGTGAAACCTGGAGGGCGTTTACCTTGCACGCGGCCTTTACCTTGCAGGCAGACAACCCAGGTTGGATTTCCGGCATCCCATATAGTCCCCCGAGCACTGCCAGGAGTGATTCCTAAGTGCAGAGCCAGGAGTAACCTCTGAGCATCACCACGTATGACCCCCCAAAAATCTTTACCTTTCGTTTTTTGGCTTCGGAACCACACCCAGCAGTGCTCAAGACTTACTCCTGGCTCTATTCTGAGATCACTCTTGGTGGTGCTCAGGTGACCACATGGGGTCTAAGCCACATTGGCTGTGTGCAAGGCAAGCACCCTACTTGCTGTCCATTCGCTCCAGCCCCTATCATTTTTCTGAAGACAAAAGTGGTAAGATGAGCATCTGCGAAGAGACACTTGGGTCACATAAATAAACTTATAATTAATCTAATAATCTAACCAATAGCATTTTCCCATCTCTCTTCTACTAACATGTCGGTTTTCCTTTGGGGAGTTAGGCCCTCAATTGACATGGCTAAATAAAGGCTCTGTGTAAACCAAACTACCTCAGTGCTTTCATGGGCACACAGGAAAACTGTCCTGTCCAAAACACTCGCATGAGGTGGGTCATGAGAAATGTTCTGGCCAATGAAACGCAAGCAGAAATGCTGCAAATGACCTGAAAACCATCCCTCCCGCCCTCCAGTCTTCTATCAGTGCTGACATAAGAGAGGTGACTTATCATGATCTCAGAGAAGGAAGCAAAACAGGGTCATGGAGTTACCACGTAGAAAAAAAACACATTACAGAGACTCCTCACTGTGAGCAGCCCGGATCTGAGCAAATTCCATGCTGGAATTTGCATGAATGGAAAGTGAAGTGTTGCTGTATTAGCCAAGTCCCTGGTTCCCAAAAGTTTACGGCCTACTCTGGGAGATAAGATATAAACCGTTAAAGGAAAAACAACATTAAAATAACTACTTCTGTAGTATTCTGAGCATCTGTCATGTAATAATATATAATCCTGACTATAAACAAGCCAGGTAGGAAATATTTATTATCCCCAGTGTGGGAAAAAGAAACTGGGGCACTGCTTGCTTTAGTCACTTGCTCAAGAGCACATAGCTAGAGATCGGCAGATCTGGGAATTGAGCCCAGATTAGTCAGACGCCAGAGTCTACATTCTTAAATATTCTCTGCTGTATAATACTAGGCAGTTGATATTTTTTCAATGCCTATTTGTTCAATAAAAACAATAGCAACAACAACAACAAAAAACTGACAAACACTAGTGGGGTGTATGAAAACGTGTCTATTTTTCTTTCTTTTTGGGTCATACCCAGAGATGCACAGGGCTTACTCCTGGCTCTGCACTCAGGAATTACTCCTGGCGATGCTTGGGGGACCACATGTGATAGTGGGAATCAAACCAGGGTCAGCCGCATGCAAGGCAAATGCCCAACCCGCTGTGTTATCACTCCAGCCCCAACTTGCTGTGTTATCACTCCAGCCCCAACAAGTCTATTCTTAAAACTAATCACACATGATGTAAAGTTGAGACACATCTGCAGAGAAATCGTGTGCAGTGCACTATGTTACTCAACATAAGAAGCAAAGGAAGAGAAAGCAAACTGGACAGTGAATGTCATCCATACTAGCCTGAGAACTTGGGCCACTTTCATTCTTAACCAGATTGAGTTTCCTAACAATCACAGGAAGTATATTCTCTAATCGTCTCTCCATCACAGAGGAGAGGGTAGCACAGCGTGGCAAAGACTTGCTTCTGCAGCCAGTAAGAAGCTAAACCAAGATCCACATCCACATTGCCTGGTTTCCAAGCCCATACTCTCCCTGCTAATCTGTCATGCCTTGTAACTCAGCATAAAGAGCCCAGCATCTGTCTCTGGGATTTCAAATGCTGCCATTTCTGGCCATACGATTCCTGTCTTATTTCTCTTAGCCTTAATTTCCTTATCCCCAAAGTGGTGCTTGTTATTGATATTATCATTTTAATTATCACTAGAGAATGAGACAAACAAAAAAAGTGAAGAAAGACGTGATCCATGCAAGCACACAGAGACAGAAAATCCAAAGATGTAGGTCAGCCACAAGAAATGACTCAATTCATCTGGTCAGCTAATTGTAGTCATGGCTGGACAAAAAAAAAGAGTTTGTTCATTATTGTTTCAGGAATCTTTCCATTGGTGAGCATTTTCCTGGCCTATTTAGGTAATCCTTGCCCATGATAACTCTAGGATCCTTCTTTTCCAACTTCAGTTTGCTAGCTTCATTCTCTTTCGTTCCTATATTTCATCTAGAAAATCCCATTGGATAATGCTTTTTATATTTTTGGCAAAGGACCTTTACATTCTTCAAAGAGGAGCTCCTAAAAGGCAGCTCATATAGAGAAGGGACCACCAAGTAAAGGATGCTTGAAGGACCCGCTCGGGATGGGAAATGTGTGCTGAAAGTAGACTATAGACCGAACATGATGACCACTTAATACCTGCATTGCAAACTACAACGCCGCAAAAGGGGGGGGGGAAGAGAGAGAGAGAGAGAGAGAGAGAGAGAGAGAGAGAGAGAAAGGGGATCCACCTGTCACAGAGGCCATGGCAGCGGAAAGGGTGGGAGGGGGATTGGGGGTTGGGGGGGAGACCAGGGGGGTTGGTGGGAAGGATACTGGGAACATTGGTGGTGGAGAATGGGCACTTGGTGGAGGGATGGGTACTCGATCTTTGTATGACTGAAACATAAGCACAAAAGTTTGTAATTCTAACTGTATCTCATGGTGATTCATTAAAAAATAAAACTTAATCAATTAGTTAATTAACTTTTTTAAAAAAGGGAGCTCCTATATAAAATGGATGGTGAGGGGGGCTGGGAGGGGCACGGGGGGGCGAACTCAACCTTTCTTGCTGACTAGGATCACTCCATAGCATAATTCCAAGTTACCAAAGATCCTCTTCATACTGAGGATGAAAATGGTATGAAATGAAGAAAGTGAAGGAGACAGCATGTTTGGAAAACAATAGACACCATTCTCAGCAGGGATGTCATAAAGAATTTCATGGAGCACTCATGAAATTCTTTCACTTGGTCACTTGACATCCCGCTATTCAAACTTTAAGACCTGAAAAATATACTGTTCTTGAAATGAGCACAGGAGACCCAGGAAGAAGAAGCCATTTCATTATTATTATTATTATTATTATTATTATTATTATTAGTGAATCACCATGAGATACTGTTACATACTTATAAAGGTTCATTTTTGCATTTCAGTCATACAATGATCGGTTACCCATCCCTCCACCAGTGCCCATTCTCCACCACCAATGATTCCAGTACCCCTCCCACCTTCCCACCCCCTCCCCCTCTCCACCCTGCCTCTGTGACAGGGCTTTCCCTTTTGTTCTCTCTCTCCTTTTGGGTATTGTGATTTGCAACCGAGGTATTGAGTGGCCATCATTTCTGTTTAGTGTGCTCATATGCTAGCTTACCTCAGCATTGGATCATACCTGACAGAAGTGCTGGATTTGTTGTCATTACTAATTGCATGATGGAACTGAAATGTTTTCCCACATATTCTGCTTTCTAAAGTAAGCAGCTGCTTTGGGTTGATTAAAGAAAATCAGTCCAAACAGTAAAGTAAATCAGGGTAAATGGCTATAAAAAAATGACAGAAAGGAAACTTAAGAAGTCACTCTCATCTCTTTTCTCTATGGCATCAAAGTCAATTTCTTTCTTATCAATCTCTTCCAAATGCAGTCAGCAAAACATATAGTTCTAATTTTTTGGGGGGGGGGTATTTTTAACTCCTCAGTGAATGTTTTTCTTTTCTAAATTCTAAGCCTAGTTCTTGCCAATTGCTTTCCTTTTCAATTTTTTTTAATTGAGGTGGGATGCCACACACAGCTCTGTTCAGGGGTTACTCCTAGCTCTGGGCTCACGGATCACTCCTAACAGTGCTCAGGGAACTACATAGGGTGCTAGAGATTGAACCTGAGTTGACCGTGTGCAAGTAGGGTGCCTTACCTGCTGTCTATCTCTCTGGTCCCACCAATTCCTTTCTAATGTATTCAAAAGCACATAGATGTCTAGTCCCACAACAAGATGACATTTCAATTAAATCCAATTTAAAAATTATGCAAAATAGAAGACATCGGTGAACCCAAAGAGCTCGATTTAAGAATGTGTAAAATACTTGAATAGTCACGTCACGAAGAATATAGAAATACATGAATAATAAATACATCAAAGTGTTCAAGGTTAGTGTGAGCCGAGAGCGAGCTGTCGTGGGCTCTGTCGTTGCGCGCGCTGCCTCGTGGGTTTCCAGCGGCCTAGCGGACGCCGAGCGGGCGAAGATGTCCCAGTACATCCGGGTCACGGAGGAGGACGAGAACGACGAGCCCGTCGAGATCCCGTCCGAGGACGATGGCATCGTGCTGCTGTCCACGGTCACGGCGCAGTTCCCGGGCGCCTGCAGCCTGCGCTACCGGAACCCCGTGTTGCAGTGCATGCCTGCCATACGCGCGCCTGCTGGAGGGCATCCTGCACGCGCCCGACGTGGGCAACCGAGTCTACGTGGTCAACTACCCCAAAGATAACAAAAGGAACATGGAGGAGGCTGATGCTTCGTCGGCGGTGAAGGTGAAAAGGGCAGTGCAGAAGACGTCTGACCCCATCGTGCTCGGCCTGCCCTGGAAGACCACCGAGCAGGACCTCAAGGAGTATTTCAGCACCTTCGGGGAGGTCCTCATGGTCCAGGTAAAAAAAAAGATATCAAGACTGGTCACCAAAAGAGGGTTTGACTTTGTGCGGTTCACGGAGTATGAGACCCAAGTGAAGGTGATGTCTCAGCGACACATGATTGATGGACGGTGGTTTGACTGCAAACTCCCAAATTCTAAGCAAAGCCCGGATGAGCCTCTGAGGAGCAGGAAGGTGTCTGTGCGCCGCTGCACCCAGGACCTCACTGCCGACGAGCTGCGGCAGTTCTTCTGCCAGTACGGGGAGGTGGTCGATGTGTTCATCCCCAAGCCCTTGGGGTGGGGGGGGGCGTTTGCTGTCGTCACGTTTGCAGATTATCAGGTGGCCCAGTCCCTGTGTGGCGAGGACCTGATCATCAAAGGCATCCTCTGCGTGCATATCTGCAACGCGGAGCCCAAGCACAATAGCAATAGGCAGTTAGAGAGAAGTGGAAGATTTGGTGATAATCCGGGTGGCTTTGGGAGCCAGGGCGGGTTCGGGAACAGCCGGGGCGGTGAGGCGGGGCTGGGCCACAACCAGGGCAGCAACATGGGGGGCAAGATGAACTTCGGCGCCTTCAGCGTCCACCTGGCCATGAGGGCCACGACCCAGGCCACCCTGCAGAGCAGCTGGGGCATGATGGGGATGCTGGCCAGTCAGCAGAACCAGTCGGGCCCGTCAGGGAACAACCAGAGTCAGGCCAACATGCAGAGAGAGCCCAACCAGGCCTTCGGCTCTGGGAACAACCAGTACAGCGGCTCCAACTCGGGCGCCGCCATCGGGTGGGGGTCGGCCTCCAACGCGGGCTCGGGCAGCGGCTTCAATGCATGGACTTCAGCTCCAGCATGGACTCGAAGTCGTCGGGCTGGGGCATGTAGGCTGGGCTGGTCAGTTAGACGCTAAAGACTGGTGGTAAGTCAAATTTTTCTAAACTCACGGTAAGTATATTGTAAGATACATATGCACTAAGAATTTTCAAAATTGGTTTGTTTGGTGTGGAGTATATTTAGCAGTAATTTTGACATTTTTCATTTAGAAAAAGAGGAAAAGCTAAAGGAATTTTCTAAGTTTTCTTACATAACGGGTTGAAAACTTGAGTGTTTGAAAGTGAACTGCTGTTTGCCTGACGGGTAAACCAACACCACAATTGCTATCAAGAAGCTTCTCCTGTAATATTTTATCCCTGGACTTGTCACCTGAGTTATTTGCATGTTCAAAGTGGAACCCATTGGTTAGAGCTGCATTCTTTCCTCCTCGTTTTAATTTGAACCCCACCATACGGATTTTCTCCTTAGGAAGGTCCCTGGAGATCGTGGTGTTGCAATGTTTGGTTCTTTTCTTTCTGTGTGTTTTCTTAACACTTGTCTCCACTCATATGCGAGAGTACGATATGAAGCCTTCATTTAATCTCTGCAGTTCATCTCATTTCAAACGTCTGTGGAAGAAGCACTCACTGACAGGAGTGCTGTACTCACTGCGCCGTGGGGCTCCGTCCGCTGCTTTGCCCACGCACTCAAGAGCTCGTCCCCACGCCGCCCAGGCTGCGTCTCTGACTGTGGGTGTCCCATTTTTATCCGCTACTCTTTCTTTCCTGGAGTCAGATCAACGCTGTGACGGCAAGGCTGTGCTGTGGACCAGAAGGCTGTCTGAACTTCTGACACCTTGTGTGGGATTGATGGTGGTGCCGGGGCATGAGACGCTGGTATGAGCGAGGACAGGAGAGCGCGTGCAGAGACTTGGTGGTGCATAATGGAGATTCTTTAACTGGGCGAGATGTGTCTCTCAACCTGTGGCTTTGGTGCGAGAGTGTGCGGAGAGCCATGGTAGCAGATAACCTACGTACGAATGTTTCTTGCATTCAAAGGACATCCACGTCTGTTGGAAGACTTGAAGTGAGTCTTACTATTAGCGAACCAACGTTAGCTGAATGTGTTAGTGACACGATACTGTATCTGCCCGTCCCCTTGTCAACTGCTGTGAATGCTGTATGGTGTCTGTCCTCGTGTCCTCTCCTGCTTCTGATCTGTCGGTGAGGTCATGTGGCCTGGCGCTGGTGGGCTGAGCTTCTGTGCTGTACAGGAATCTCGGAGCTGAGTCGCCAGTGAGGGCGGGGGGGGGGGGGGGGGCGGGGGGGGGGCCTGGGGCCTGCCCACCCCTAGGATGCGGTTGGTGGTCTTGTACCCTGTGCTCGGATGCTTTTATAAGAGTTGTCAATGTTGGAAATTCTGAAATAAAACTGATTTAAATAAAAAAAAAGAAAAAATGTTCAAGGTTAAAATCTAAAAGTCCAATAATTTTATAGTTGGTGAGAATGCAAGCCACTGGAATCCTCATAAATAGGCAGCAAATGTGATGGTGGCAAATTCCTTAGAAAATTAAATGTAAATACATAATTAGCAACTCCATTTGTATTTCTCCCTAGAAGATAAGACAGCATATGTATACACAAACTGTATAAAAATACACATCAGCTTCAGAGAAACTGGAACTCATCCAAATATTTATCCACTGGTTAGTGTACAAATTGTGATAAATCCCTGTAATAGAATGCTTCTCCCTGATACAAAAGAATTATTCATGGAATTCTATAAATACTTTTATGTTCTTTTCTTTCATTTTGGTGTTGGGGCTCATAGCTTACTTCTAGCTCTGTGCTCAGGGACCACTGCTGGTGGTGCATTGGGGACCACATGGAGTCCTGGAAATTGAACCCTGGGGCAGCTGCACTATATAGCTCCAACCCCTGGGATTCTATAAACCTTATACTGGACACAAGGCAGCATACTTTGAAATTAGAAATACATAAAAATGCAAAACAGATTATGGTATAATAACCCGGGCTACTTGCTCCAGTCTAGGATTATTTGGGCAAAGAATGACTAGAAAAGCATACAAAAGAACTTTCTGAATAATAGAAATGTTCTAAATTTTAATTGAGCCATTGATTACATCTAGGAGTCTCAGTGAATTTTTCACATTATATGTAAGCCACTTTCCTTTTTTCTATTCCTCAGCCAAAAAAGGCAGAAAGAAAGAAAGAAAGAAAGAAAGAAAGAAAGAAGAAAAAGTGTACGTAATAAGCCCACTAATATTCTCAAGTTATCTCAAAGATTTTTAATAATAGTTGGACCAAAGACTAACCGAAATAAAGATAAGACTGTAATTTGAGATACCAAAGAGTAATGAATAAGACTTTGCATATGATTTATTTAGAATGGGTGAAGGACAACTAGAAGGTGAAGGTAACCACCAGATTCTTGGTTTGAGACAATTAGGTGGTTTGTGGTTTCAAATCCATAAAAATACAGAAGTTGAAACTTTAATTGATATGTGAGGGGATGAAAACGATTACATGTTTCACATATGGTTGAGGTGACCCTAAATTATGCAAGTTAGGTCTGGGTAAAAGTTAGATATACTGTTTCACCTTGGATGGAAGAGGAATAATTTCCCATAATATCTTGATAGTTATCATCACACAGATATCATAACACAGATAGAAAGGAGAGGAGGTTGTCTAGAAAGAGAATGTAGTGAAAGTGCAATTAAAGAACTGATATGACAGAGCCTTTAAAAGAGTCTATAGACCAAGTAGAGAAGATATGGTTGACAAAGAACACTGACAAATAATGCCTAGAGATATCTGAGTAAGGCTTCCTGAGGAAGGGGAAGCAGCTGACACAGACAAAAGAACTATGCCTTTGATGAAACATTGGGTTGGAGAGGATAGGGTGGGTGGGTTTAGCTCCAGACAGTTTCTTTAGGTTGAAAGATGTCAAAGTTTTACAGCTTGGAGCTGGGAGGCCAGACCACCTCCTGAAAAAGACACAGGGGAAAAACGAATGGATTTCACAATCACTAAAGTAGAACAGCAGAATTTAACTTTTAAAACTTGGATTAAAAGCTTGAGACTGTATAGGGTAGGCGCCTGCCTGGCACACTGCTGATCCTGGTTTGCTCACAGCACCACATATCATCACCCAAGCACAGTGATCTCTGAGCACGGAGCCTGGAGTGGCCTGAGCATACCCAGGTGATGCCCCAAAATAAAAACAAATAACAACCAAACAAGGTTGATAAGGTCTCTGGCAAGTGTTCAATGAGAGTTGGAATCAGTGCCTTTTTTTTTCATAATAACAACCTGTCTAGTTATGCATTTTCTTTTCTTCTTTCTTTAATTGAATCACCAAGAGATAAAGAGTTGAAAAGCCATTAATGGTCAGATTTCAGTCAAACAGTGTTCCAACACCAATCCCACCACCAGTGTACATTTCCCACCACCTGTGTCCCTAGTTTCCCTCCCGTCACTCTTCCCCCACAAGCCTCTCTCTACAGCTGGCAATTTCCTTCTTTCTCGCTTTGCCTGTTTTTCCCCATCTCTGTCTGTCTCTGTCTGTCCCCCCCCCCCATCTATCCCCCTCCCCACTTTTGGGTATTATGGTTTGAAACACAGATACTGAGAGGTTATCCTATTTGTTCTTTTACCTATTTTCAGCAAGCAGTTCTTAGAGTGATCATTGCCAACTATCTTTGTCAGTGCAATTTTCAATTGCATAATTTTATGCTTATGCCCAAGCTAGAAAGGAGAATGGTTGGGTTCATATAACATCATAACATCATGGATATACAAAAAGTTTCAATTAAAGAGTCAAAATTTTAGAGAATGAATAAAATTAGGTACCAAGGAGAGAGGAGAAGGACAGGAGGAAGCTGATGGACAGAAGAGGACAGGTACAAATTTGGACAGGAAGATCAGGTGCTGTCACAGCACAGGGTTGTTGGAAGTCTTTGAACCAGCAAACCAAAAAGACCAAAAGATTTGTCAGAGAGGGAATGTCTGCGTTGATTATTTCAGCAGATCCAGCATTTGGAGAAAGGAAATGACACAGGTATCAGATTGCTAAGGTAGAGTAGAGATCACAAAACCAAAAGTCTAGGATATTAGGTGAGTCAACTACAAGGGTAATGAAGTTTTATTGATGATAGCAGATGCTGGAGAGCAAAACCATGCCACAGTTTTGATAGTCCAGTCCAGTGAGTAAGGCTGTTTCCAAACCACCACATAACAGCGGTGAGCAGGAGATGAGAGTAGCATAGCCAGCTGGCAAAGAATGGGAAAAGAATTGATGTTTGGACAGCAAATCAACCCCAATCACCATCTTAAAAATGCAGAGAGATGCAGAGAAACCTCCACTTAAGAAGACTAAGAATGAAATTTTGTTCTTGTTTCAGGGGGAGCAGATCTCAGCCTCATCAGGAAAGGTGGGTGAAGGGGAGGAAGTCGTAGAGTTGGCGCTGGACTGAGATGAAAGAAAGAGAGAGGGTGAAGAGTAAGGGCCCGGTGAGGAGTGCTGCTTGGCTGTGGAAAGTCAGAGGGTGAAAGGTAAGGGCATGGTGAGGAGTGGTGCTTGGCTGTGGGAAGTCAGCTCCTATTCTCTGCCACTAATCACTGGCCTCAATCAGTGTGGAGCGAACGGTAGTAGGGGCCACAGCAGAGTATATAAGACTAGAATATGAGGGAGATACAGAACCACTGCCCAACTACAGCTAATCGTCTCTTCATACACTGCCATTAATCAGTCAACAAAAGGGAGTTCTTAGTCTCAAATGAGGTTGATGAAAATAGTTGATTACCTAAACTTCTTTACAGGTGATAAAATAATAGAAAAATTGCAACTGAGTAGCCAATTCACCATATTATTGTTAAAGACTTTGATATAAAAATGAAAATAAGAAAATAAAGACTAATATAAAGGCTTGTCGACCAAGTGATCTTTTATTGTTTAAGGGCAAATCCTGAGCATGTCATTTTCTTTTCTTTTTTTTATTGTTGCTTTTTGGGTCTTACCCAGCGATGCTCAGGGGTTACTCCTGGCTTTGCACTCAGGAGTTACTCCTGGTGG